ACCCGCTAGTGCGTTAAGTGCGGTTAATTCGACCAATTAGGTTAAGTTTGGCATAAAGGGATTAATTTACTAGGTGTTGAGAGATAATTAGAGGTTACCTAAATGGATTAGTAGTAGAGAGACAAAGGAATAGCTATAAACCAAAAAGGTGACAAGTGTCACTTTGTGACTAAAGGTTGGACTTTGACTACTTTCTTTCACCTTTACTAAACATGAATTTTGACCAATTTCATCTTCATTTTTCTTTCTCTTGGCCGACCAATATAGAGAGAAAAGAGAGAAAATCCCTCAACTTTTGCTTTCTATTCTCTTGCTTAATCTCTTGATCCAACATTTAAACTTCAAATCACTCCATAAAAACCCCTAGCTAAGTAGTATTGAGGTAGTTAGTGGAGTTGTTTTGGAAAAAAGAGACCTAAGCTACTACTTTTTGGGAGGTATCAAGGTATGGTGTGTAAAGATTCATTGTTTTTTTCCAATAATGGCTAATTCATGACTTGTAGTGGCTAGTTATGTGATTTTATGGAAGATTTTATGGATTAGAGTGAAGTTAGCTAAATTTCTGATTTTTGTGAGAATTTTTCTGTTTTCCTATGATGGATATGGTTGGCTTGAATTGATGGCTCTAAATGGTGTTAAATAGACCTCTTGTGCTTTAATTGCGGTTATTTGCGAAAAATTCCAGCTTTGATGTGTAAATTTCAGCTTTAGGGTTTTAATTTGACCATGATTGGGGGTAGTTTTGGAGCTACCAATTGGTTGTATCTTAAGGGTGTTTCATAGACTATGATTTGTATGTGCAATGGTGATTGTTTGTTATGAAATTTGGTGGTTAATGGTAGCATGGTGAAGTACGGAAATCTAGGGGAAGTGCTGCTGAAATTCTCGCAGAGCCCTTGAGCAGTCTTGGGAAATCTACTATATCTTGATATAAGAAAATCGGAATTGAGTTCCGTTTGTTGCGTTTTAAACTAGATTCATAGGGATATAAACCGTGTAAATTTCAGACCCTGTTTGTGTCTGTACAATTTATGGTGATATTTCAAAGTTGACTGAAATATTGTACCTGTTCTGTCTTTCACTGGATAAAGCAGCAACTTGAGGCTTGAATTTGACTGACTTGCGTTCTGAATCTTACGATGGTGTTTTCTGGAAAGTTATAGCCCTTTGAATGTATTTTCCAACGGTATAACTTTTTTTAATTTATAACTTGAGATATGATTTTTCATATAGGGTTGCGCGAAACTGGAAAATCCTGTTTTCCTAGTATTGATCTTACTTTCATTTTCTACTTCAAATTTGGAGTTGGTCAATCATTGTAGGTAGGGTTTTGAGGTTGTTCATACCTTTAGGACTAATTGTTATCTTTTCACTCCAAAGTCACCTCTTCGCTTTACATTAATGGTTCATTTGGATAGGTGCCTGACTTGTAATTGAGTTTTACTTGCGAATTCCATTTATTAGGTCTTGGAGTCCAGTCTTAAGTGTTTGCCCTTGATTGTTTTAGGAGGTGCCAGCGAGTAAAGCCACACTTGGGAAGGAAACTTTTGAAATTATCCTTGTTTGATCTGGTGAGTGTACCACTCCCCTGCCTTGTTGCTTAATTGGTTTATCTATACTTGAAATTTGTGACATGGATAACTATGAACTCTGTTATTTTGAATGAAACGAGGGTGTACTTTATCACACTCGTTCTCTTGCCTGTGTTATATAAACTGAAACCTATTACTTGTACTTGTTATGAACTTGAACCTGTTACTTGTGCATGTTATAAGGACGTTTGGAAGTGTGTCCAATGACCTTCTTGTTAAACCTGAGCTCAACCTCATGGGGAGTTAATTAAATCGAGCCAGCAAGGGTTTGGTCGAGATATTTGACAATTCATGAGTGCCTGTTCCTAGGGAATCTTTGAGTATTGAGATTCTTGATTCCGGTATACTCGAGTATTACCACTTTCATTCTTGTTTGGCGTTCGGGCCCGGTAAGGGGGTATGATTGGTGAACGGGATTTGGCGTTAAAGTGGTGTTCTATTGGACTGGTTTCCTTATTTGAAAGTTGACGGAGGGTCAACGTAATCGGATTAAGTATTGCAACGGGGATTTGGCTCCTGAGAGCCACCTGTATCCTTTCTATCTAAGTTGTTTCGCTCATCTCCTTATTTAGTACACCTATGTGATTAATTGAGTATGAAGTTCCTTGATTCTTGACTGTTATTATTTTGGGTAGCTCATTGAGCGTAAGCTCACCCCCTTCCGGTTATCTTTGTTTTCCTTACAGGGAACAAACTTTGAACTCATGGTTTTGGAAGAAAAGGGGTCTAGCTAATGTATATGAGATTTTGTTAAGCTCTTTCGTAACCGAAACCCTAATTGTATTTTGAATAATAGGAATACTTTGGCTTGTACTTTAATAATTTGTTCAAGACTCCAATGTAAATATATGTAAATAAGTATTTAACCTTGTTTCTTAATTGTATTCGTTTGAGATGTTATGTTTTTATAGCTCTGGTGAACGTTTATGTCACTGTTGGGAAGATCGGACGAGCGCGGCGTTTGAACGAGGGAAGAAAGAAAATTTTCTGGCTGAAACTGTTCATCGAATCCGGCCAGAAAGATATCTGGCCAGATTAGCAGGGGTTTTTGAAAAATTTTGGATCAGCTACTGCCTCCAATCCGGCCAGGAATCAAACCGGATTGTGACGTGGCGGTTACTGCTCATTTTCGTTTTGTTTTCGTTTTTCCATTTGCCTTTTGTTGCATTATTTAATTAAAGCATTATTGTACCTTAAAGTTTAGAAATCATGTTTTCAATGTAATAGTCTCGAGTGGTTTGTTTCTTGGGTTTCTATCGTGCGTACTCTAGGGTTTATGTGATTTGACTCCGTAGTCCTGGCGAGAGTTGGGCAGGTGGTCCGCCGAACCCTTTGGTTCGCCTTAGGGGGAGGTGGGGCTGTCACAAATTAAATGACAATTCGCTAAAATTAGAGTAATAATAATTAAAAGTCTAGTCAAGAAACAACTTTAGCTATGGTTCACCTAATTGATCATCGATGTGAAGGCAATTCCAATTATTTACTAATAAATAGGTTATAACTGTCAAACAATCGATGACAGTCAACCCTTCCTTACTGCATCGGTGATTAAGGTACGCCCGTTAATCACTACTCTAACTGAGAAATAATTTTAGGTACGACCGTAAGATTTAATTTTCCAATTGCCTTACGTATTAAAGGAGCCCTATTCTGATCAAATAATGCACTACCTGGGTTATTTTAGATTAGCCTGCGTATTTCCCTGACACAAACCTAATCATGTCATTTGTCACTATTTCAAGGTAATTAAACAATTACGGATTTAATACCTTAATTGACAATAGATTACCAAATCAATTTACTATCCGGATCCAAGACAATCAATCAATTGAATAACCATGAACACTGCAATCGGAGAATATGCAAATACCAATAAATAAGAAGAAAAGATAAGATTAAATTGATCTCACAATTTTTAGATAAACTAAAACCTCCATTGTTTCTTGACTAGAAAAGGAAATTTAGTTCATCCGTGACAAGAAAGACCCACACAAAAGTGAAGCAACAATTCCGGCCATTGTCCTTGCTCGCGAGAATTCAATTCGGTCGAATGACTGAAAGAAAAACGAGAAACTACAGAGAATGATTCAATTCTTCAAAAGCTCTTGACATGCGAGAGGACAAACTACTAAGAGGCCCAATAGAGGACGGAGACGGAAAAGTCAAAAAGCTAATCTACCAAGTGTCCCCATCGTCTACTATCCTAGTATCTAGTTCCTCCTGCTACTATGCGGCATCCGCTGCGGAGAAGAAGAAGACTCTAGCACTTTTTTTCTTGAATGCCGTCTTCCGTAAATTATCAAAAAGGGGTAGCGTCTTGATATTTTAAAAATGCCTTTGGATATTTGCTACTTGAACTCTTTCCTAATGACTGTCAAATTGGCTCTTGTTATGGTATTTTTGTTCTACTCCCTGTAATAAGTGCAAATTTTCAAAAGTGACTAGAATCTAACAATTAATCCACATTGAGTCAGGTAATAAGGGAAATTAATTATAAAATAAACGATAAATTGCAGTCTATCAATCTCACGAAATAAAAGATTTCATTATTGAAAGATTCAAGGACCCTAAAACCACTATTCACAATGTGAGGGAAATGAAAGAAAAAATCTTCACATTAGTAAATATCTGGATAGAGTTTTCTAACAATACTCACTGTGACCATCCAATCTTACGTTTAATTAGGGGTGAGCAAAATTATCCGCAAACCCGAAAACCTGTCATATCTAGGGGTGAGCGAACGGTGCAAATGCGGTAATTCAAGTATATGAATTCGATAAATTCAGTTATCGGACTTATAGAAATTTAAACCGCTTTCAAATTCGAATTGGAGATACCCGAAATCATTTCACTTCTGAATTTGAATTCGGAAATGGTAATGAATTCGGGTTAACCGAATTCATTTAAAAAAAATTCTGCTGAATCTTTTAATTGCAATTTCCAGCCTAATTAAGCCCTATTACCCAGTTTAATAGCTACGCTGCTACTTTAATCAATCTAATTACAAACTTATAGGCTACAACACCAAGCCAAAGGAAATCAACATCCAAATTATTACATTAATGATAAATCTTAGTGAAGAGAGAATATGGAATTTTCATGTTAAATATGTAATGTAATTTTAGAGCACACTAATACTCACAAGTTACAAGTTACGCATTCAAATATTCAATAATTCATACATGAATGATGTACCAAACTACCAATATCTAAATTCTAATTACTAATTATGTTTATTGTTTAATATTTAGCATTATACCTATACTTATTAATTATTATCTAATTCTAGTCATGTAGTTGGAAAACGTAAATCAAGTATGAAAAGCCACAAGAGGGCTAACACTAGTGCCGAGAATAAATCTCCGACATACTAGGAAACCCTTGCGGCTAGGTTTTGTTTTGATCCTGATGACGGCTGCGGCGGCGAAGCCGCCGGAGCGTGGCGGCCAGAAGCTTGTGGCCCCTTCGTTTGCGGCAGTAGTTGGCCGTTCCAATGATGAGATTGGGGTAACGCTGGGTGTTGTCTCAACATTCAGAGGTGAGCCTTCTCTTCGTATCTCTCGCCAGGAGATTGAGAGTTTGGCTGCTCCCTTCCACTAGGCTCTGGTAGGGAGATTCAGTGCGGGCAGGCCCTCCATGGAGGCCATACAAAAATTCTTTGTGATGCTGGGGCTCAAAGGACATTGCTCAGTGGGTCTCCTGGACGAGAAGCACGTTCTGATTAGACCAGTGGTGGACGATGATTATACTCGCTTGTTTGCTCGCAGGGTCTGGTTCATAGGTAAGTCACCAATGTCGATTTCGAAGTGGAGCATCGACTTCAGGTCTGGCCAAGAGCTTTCAATTGCTCCAGTTTGGGTAAGTTTCCCAGGTCTGCCTATTCCCTTTTTCCAAAGGAATCAGTTGATGCAGTTAGCCTCTACGTTGGGGCACCCCCTCAAGTTGGATGCGGCAACCGGTGATCTTCGTCGGCCCTCTGCTGCGCGAGTGTTGGTAGAGGTAGATATTTCTTTGCCTCTTGCTAAACGCATTTGGATAGGAGATGAGGAATATGGATTTTGGCAGCCCGTGGACTTTGAAAACATTCCTCCTTACTGCTCTTTCTGTTCCAAGTTCGGTCATCAGCAGGACAGTTGTTTTCGGAGGGATCCTTCCCTGCGACCTGTGAAGGTGGGGCGGGCTTCCTTGAAACTTCAAGAGGTTTCTGCGCCTGTCACGAGTTTGGATAAGGGTAAAGCTAAGCAGGGTGAGCCTGGTATACCTGCAGCGTCGTCAGGTAGTGTTGGGGCAGAGGTAGCTGGGTTGTCGGCTCCAGTCCAGAAGCAGCTGCTGCTCCAGGGACATGGGGTGGCAACTTCCTGTGTTTTGTCTTCCAGAGAGGCTGCGGTATTGGAGGTGCCGGTGGAAGCAGCGGCTGGGCAGCAGATTGGGGAGGTCGAAGTGGAGGTTGATACTACTTCTGACCCTGTGAAGGTTTTGGAGGATGAGGGGATGGAGCAGGATATGGGGCAGGCGCCCACAGTTGTGGATGATGCGCATCAAGATGTCGGTTGCGGAGGAGTGCAGGACGTGGGGATGCAGCAGGAGCAGCTGGGTGATGTAGAACTGGGTGGTAGTTTGGAGATTATCCTCCCGCATGCTGCTGAGGTGCGAGGGGTGGTGTGGAGGGGAGCAAACCAGATGATGTTGAGGCGCGATCTGTTGCCCTTGTGGGAGATCAGACGGTGGAGTCCAGCAGTGACGAGGAGGCCCTTTCAGTGGGCTCCTTATCCCCACGATTTGCTATGGAGCTGGTGCGAATCCAGGATGCAACCATAGTGTCAACAGCTGGAGTTATTGACAATTCGGTGGCGGCTTTGAGGAACAAACAAAAAGGTAATCGTGCACATTTTCCCTCTGACAGGCAATTACGTTCTAAATTGATAAATTCGCAGAATTCCCTTCCTACTTTGTCCAATGATTAAAGGTCTATTTTGGAATGTTCGGGGCATTTCTAAAGCTCCGAAATTGAGAAGGATTAAAAAATTGATTCAAATGAACAATCTCCAATTTTTGGCTTTTTGTGAACCTTGGTTGGAGGTTGATAAAGTTGAACAGTATAGACACAAATTAGGTTTTCATGGAGTGGTGCATAATGTGGTGGGTTCGATCTGGGTTTTCTTCCAAGAGCCTTTTTCTGGCTTGGTGGTTGGAGAGAGCCCCCAGCATGTGTCAGTGCGACTTTCTCACGATCATGTGCCGGGCTCCCACCTTGTTGTCTCCTTTGTGCATGCGCGATGTACACCTGTGGAGAGGTGTGAGCTATGGGAGGGTTTAATGCGGGATAACCCGGGTTCCGCTGCATGGCTTGTGGGTGGGGATTTCAATGTAATTTTAGATGCTGAGGAGAAGAAAGGGGGTCGGGCTTTTAATCCTGGTGAAGCTATGGAGTTTAGACAGTTTATTAATGAGGCTAATCTCATGGATGCCGGTTTTTCTGGGGCTCAGTTTACCTGGTGTAACAATAGACATGGCAGGGCAAGAATCTGGAAAAGATTGGATCGGGTTTTGGTGAATGAAGGTTATTCTGACACGGGGATGTCATTGGCGGTGTCGCACCTAGCCCGGGAGTCATCAGACCATGCTCCGCTCCTTCTTTCAGTGTCAACCAGATTGGATACTAAGCCGAGGTCGTTCAGGTTCCTTAATGTCTGGACGAGGCACGAGGACTTCTTGCCTATGGTTCAGGATTCTTGGGAGCAACCGTGCGTTGGACCCCCTTTGCAAGTTCTCTGTTGCAAATTAAAGCGGTTGAGGGGTACTATACGGGATTGGAGTAGGAGGGTTTTTGGGGATATTTTTCAGACAGTTAGGCAAAAGGAAGAGGAGGTGCGGTTGGCAGAGGTCCGTGTAGAAAGCGATGATTCAGATGCTGCTAGGGTGCATTTACATCTTGCCAAAGGCCAGTTGCGAGCGGCCTTGAGAGTGGAGGAGTTGTTTTGGAAGCAGAAGGCTCGGGTTAGGTGGCTTCAGGAGGGAGATCGAAATACAAGGTTCTTTCATTCTGTCGTCAAAAATAGAAGGGTACGTTCGATCATTCACAGGATTAGAAATGGGCAAGGGGAGTGGGTGGAGTCGGATGATGGGATTGGAGCAGAGGCGATACGGTATTTCGAGGGGTTGTTTACGGATCAGCGTCCAGCATCTTCCTCTGAGTTGCTTCAGCATATCCCAACAATTTTGACTGATGAGGAGAATGATTTGCTGGAGCAGTTTCCCTCTGCGGTGGAGATTCGAAATGCGGTTTTTGCGATGGATGGGGAGAGTGCACCGGGGCCGGATGGATATACGGGTAAGTTCTTTACGGTTGCTTGGTCAGTTGTCGGTGCGGATGTTGTTAGCGCAGTGTGTAGTTTTTTCTGTGGGGCGGAGTTGCCTCGGGCTATTACAGCGACCTCCATTGCACTCATTCCTAAGGTTGGGCACCCACAGGATTTTTCTCAGTTTCGCCCGATTAGCTTGTGTAACTTTGTTAACAAGTTGATTTCGCGAATTTTGGCGGATCGCTTGGCCCGAATCCTTCCAAGGATTATTTCCCCACAGCAGAGTGGTTTTGTTCGGGGGCGGCTTATATCGGATAATTTCTTGCTGGCACAAGAGTTGCTCTCTAATATAGGGAGGACCTCCAGAAATGCCGATGTAGCTCTGAAATTAGATATGTCAAAGGCTTATGACCGTGTTTCCTGGATGTTTTTGACAATGGTTTTGAGGAGATTTGGTTTTAGGGAGCAATGGATTGATAGGATTTGGAGATTGGTCTCGAATGTTTGGTTTTCGGTCCTAATCAACGGGGCCAGTGTGGGTTTCTTTAAGTCTACGCGAGGGCTTCGTCAAGGGGACCCGTTATCCCCAGGTTTGTTTATTATTGGCGCTGAGGTGCTGTCCCGCTCTTTGAACCAGTTAGTGGAGCATCGGGAGTTCAAGTGCTTTTCAGTTCCGCGGGGCTGTCCTATGATCACGCATCTCAGTTATGCAGATGACGTCCTGGTTTTTTCAGGTGCTTCATCCGCTTCGCTGAGATGTGTTATGCAGATTATTGGAAAATATGAAGCAGTTTCGGGGCAGGAGATTAATGTTCAAAAGAGCGGGTTCATGGTGCATGCTAAACTGCCTAGTCAGTGTGTGGCAAGGATTCGACGGGTAACTGGATTTGGTCTGAAGTCGTTTCCCGTGCGTTACTTGGGGTGTCCGCTTTTTGTGGGGCGCCGGAAGTGTCTATACTTCATGGAGCTGGTACAGTCAGTTATTTCTAAAGTTTCTTCATGGAGGTCCAGATTTCTATCCAATGGGGGTCGGATTGTACTCATCAAACACGTGCTTTCAGCAATCCCAACTCATTTATTGGCAGCTTCATGCCCTCCGAAGGGAGTTCTAGCTTTAGTTGAACGGGCTATGGCAAATTTTCTCTGGGGGGAGCGGGAAGGTGGCCTCCGACATCATTGGATTAAGTGGGCAGACCTGTGTGCCGACTCGTCACAGGGCGGGGTTGGTGTTCGATCGCTTCTGGATGTTCATACAGCATTCTCATTCAAATTGTGGTGGCGTTTCCGTACGGGAGAGTGTTTATGGGCGACATTTATGAGAGCCAAGTATTGTCGGCAGAGTCATCCATGCATGGTAGCGGCGGGTCAGGGCAGTTCATATATGTGGAGGCGTTTGCTTCAAATTCGTGAGGTGGCGGAGCAAAATCTTTGGTGGGAGATGCGGTCGGGACAGTGTAATTTCTGGTTCGACAATTGGATGGGTTCTGGTCCTCTGTGTCAACGGTTACAAAGTGTTTCTGATCACTTAGTTAGGGATTTCGTATTGAATGGAAGGTGGAATCAACAGTTGCTACGGCTTTGGGTTCCTGATGACATAGTATCAGAGATAGTTACTAAAGTTGCCCCAGTGGGATCCGCGGACGATCGTGCGGTGTGGGCCTTGACAGAGTCAGGAGATTTCTCCATTGCTTCCACATACGTGCTGCTTGGTAGTCAGACCCCCTCATCTTTCATGTTTGATAGGGTTTGGCACCCTGTAATTCCAATCAAGATATCATTCTTCATGGTAAGATTGCTGCGGGATCGTTTACCGTTGGCATCGTCCCTAGGAAGGTTGCAAGTCTATGGCCCTTCCAAGTGTTTTTGCTGCTTGGCCTCGCAATCTGAGTCGTTGGATCATGTCTTTGCGGAAGGTGAGTTAGCTCTTTTTCTGTGGACCTTTTTTGGGAATAGCGCTGGAGTGAGTTATAGAGGTATGGGGGTGCGGTCGCGTTTGGCGGCTTGGTGGTGCCAACCGGTTCGGCACTCTCGTCTGGAATCATTACATTCGGTTTTGCCTTGCATTATTTGTTGGCATATTTGGTTGGCACGGAATCTTGCAATTTTTGAAGGGCAGCTCCTGCATCGACAGACCATTTGTGACCGTATCTTGGCAGATGTCGTAGGGCTATTTTCCAGGAAGTTTGCAGGTGAGTTTTTTGGGGTTGGCTCCTGGTCGACGGTCCTCTCCATCTTCTCTGGGTGGAGGCCTCGGTATTCCCATAGAGTGGTTTGTTGGGAATTTCCAGTCCAGGGAGCCTTCAAGTTAAATACGGATGGGTGCTCGCTTGGCAACCCGGGCGTTAGTGGCGGGGGTGGTGTGCTTAGGGACTCGTCTGGTGCTTTGTTGTTTGGCTTTTCTGTTCCGTTTGGGGAACTTACATGTCTGCAAGCGGAGATAAAGGCTTTGGTGTTTGGGGTGCAACAATGCCGTCTTCGGGGTTTCTCGCGGATTCGGGTGGAGGTGGATTCTCTTGTGTTAGTCAACCTCCTGGTAAGACAAGTCAGGTGTCCGTGGTCAGTTCGGTCGGATCTGGAATCGTTACGGGCTGTCCAAGGGTTGGAGTGGACGGTGGGGCATTGTTATCGGGAAATGAATCAAGTGGCGGATGCCTTAGCCAAGGTTGGGGCACATTCTGAGGGTACTATTTTGTATACGACACAGTCTGAGTTGCCAAGGGTGGCAAGGGGGGCCTTAGGTTTAGATAGGTCGCAGATTCCTGCGATTCGTACTCGAGCTATTTCTCACTGAAGCCTGTATATTTTGATTTTCTTGATTCTAATAAAATCGTAGTTTTTGAAAAAAAAAAAAATAGTCATGTATAAAATGATAAGTGTTTTAGTTATGTTATGTATTATTGTATATTTGTATTATTATAATCATATAACAATCAACAAATACTAAAATATTATATTGTACATCATTATATATTATTATTATCATAAGTACATGATAATACCATATACTAACTATAATTAATAGCATTTACGGAATTTAAATTTGAAATCAGTTATTACCAAATTCATAATCTCATTACCTATTTTATACCATATTAGAATTTAGCGAATTTGGTAAATACCACTTTTGTACTAAATTACCAAATACCCGATTTCAAATTACCAAATTAAATTTGAATTCGGGTATGTACCGAATTTGCTCACCCCTAGCCATATCTGATCCGATACAAAAATTAGGATATCCAATTTGTATTGTTTGATTAGGTCAAAAGAGGGTCGGGCACCCGTTTAGATGTGGGACGGGTTAGGGCCACATAATTAAAAATCCGTAAGTACCAAACCCGCTCCGTATATATATATATATATTTTTTTTTATTTTTTTATTTTTATACACATACTATAAAATAATATTTTTAAAGCTAAATAAGTAATTTCATTGAACAAAATTCCATTACAAATATGACAAACTATAGTTTATTTATAAGATTTATTTGTAGAGGTCATGATTTTATGTTTTATAGAAAAGTGTTTAATTAATGTAGAACATATATTTAAAAAAATGTGCTGCTTATTTCAAACTTTATTGATTTTTAATTCTTTTAATTTTTTTCCTTTACCTTGTACTCTTTTCGCATGCTTGTTTCTCAGTGGGAGATTTTTTGAGAAAAGAATCATTACTGAATCATAAATGAATGTGTAAAATATAAAATTAAATTAATATAAATCATTTTTTTAAATTAAATGATAAATGGGGCAGGGCGGGTACCCGTTGACCCGACCTTATAAATCGATGAAGGCATCCAATACATTACAAAATGCCAAAATATCATATCAAACATTCGAATATCATAATGAAGTTCAACAACACCCTACAAATAGTTTGATAAGTGGTATTTGGCCTAAAATTCACATATAAGTCAAGGTAGCTTTACAAAAACAAATCCAAGTCCCAAAAAAAATATGTGCTGTCAAAACATTTCCTAAGTATAAGATTTTCTTTGTAATTCTTGAGTCAATTAGCAACTCCTGCTGCTGATATTCCAAAAAGCTAAAATGAGCAACATATCTGCAGTGAAGTCCTGCAATTATTAGTTGGTCATAAGAAAAACTTGAGACAAGAAAGAGAACCAAAGAATTTGCAAGAAAATAAGGTAAATTGTTCCTTTGAAGTATAATCTAGACGGTGACTAAATAAGAGCAAAGTAAGAGATAAAGCACTTGGAACATTAGAGTTCAAGAAACACTTCTTTTACTTTTAGTAAATTATTAAGAACTTAGGAAACAATTAATATGCTTATGCTACCATATTAAGAACCAAACAGTGATCCTTCTATGGCTTCGTAGGCTCCATTTGTATGGTTCATTCAATAGATCATGCATAGCAACTTCAACTTTTCAGGTATTGAAAATGATATTGTTTACCACTAGACCAAGTTTTGATGACAAATAAAACTCCAACATATATAGAGATTCTTTGCACCCATTGGTGATGTTTTAATGATTTTAATAACAAAAATTTGATGCATCTAATATTTTAGTGAAACTGTGTAAAATAATGGAAAAGATGCTCCACTATAAATCGAAGCTTCAGACTATGAGGTGAACCAGTACATTCACTAACCATCCTACTTTGAATTTTCAAAAGTTCTAATAGCAAATATCTCATGCTAGTAGCTTTAATAGCATAAAAGTAGATATTATCAAGAAAAGTATGCATAAGATGTCGTGAAATATCAGATTATGAAATTTCTTTTCTACTAGTTAGACTAATGACCAAATTTCTTGTAGTGTCCGGAACAACTATTGGGCATGCCTAATGGAGTAAAATACACAGGCAGAAAAATAGTTTACATTTCTTCGATTTTTGTGCATATTATGTTTGTAGTTTTTCTCTTTCTAATTATGCTTTGCTTCAGAAGAAATTATATGTTGGTTCAAAGCTACTACTCGGCATGCCTAGCAGAGCGAAATATAGAGGCAGACAAATATTCTACATTTCTACGATTTTTGTGTATATTATGTAGAAACCAAAAATTTTGCAAATTTGTTTATTTTTTTTGTTTTATTTCATTTTTTAGTTAGTTCAATTTATTTTCATTATTATTGTTATCTTTTATTTTTAAAAAAGAAAAAATAGAAGAATTTATTTAAACAAAATCATTTTTTTGTTTGATTTTTTTTAGGAAAAGTGAAGAAAGGAAAAGAAAGAAAATGGGAATGAAAAAAATCTGATTTCTGTTAAAAAAATTTCTACTGCATGTCATCTTCTCCTCCAGTTGCATTCTTGTACCAGAAACAGTACACTGTAGCTGGCATTTTTGGGGCAATTTTGATGCGATTTTGCTTCCCTTTCTTTTCCTCCAAGCTCCCCAGTACAAGAGCCACCTCACCTCAATAGAAATCATCAGGAAAATTCTGGAAGGAGGAGGATCAAATGGCTCAAAATGAGCCAAACAAGTCTAGCTTTCATCCTCACCTTTGAGGTGAGAGTTTAGTGATTTTTGATAGGTCGAGATTTTGTCATTTATTTTATAATTAATTCCCTCTTATTATCTTACCAAATGTGCATTAATTGACAGATTCTATTCACTTTTAGAAATTTGTGCTGATCAACATTGTTCTAAAAGCATCTCAAGATGAAGAAGACTCCGCTTCCTTGGATGGAGATGATGCGAAAGTTGACGACAATGATCTTGCTCTTATCACAAGAAGTTTCAAAAGAATCCTCATCAAAAGGAGATTCAGAAAGGGAGGATCCAGCAATTCATCTTCAAATCAGTTCAACAATGCAAGAAACAAAGGAAAGCAAGAGACTAATAAGAAGCAAGCTGATAAGTGCTTTGAGTGCGGCCAACTGAGACACTACATGAATGAGTGCCCAATGAAAAAGAAGAGAAAAGAAAATGTTGAACGAAAACCTCGTTTCAATAACTTTTAGATCACTTGGAATGATTGCAACTCAAACGGTGATGTTGAAGAATAAGAAGAATCTGCTCAAATGACTTTCATGGCCATTGGTGATGATGAGATAACTACTTGCAACTCTTGACTCAATAGTGATGATGGATCTCATGAAGATGTTAATTCCTTCATTGAGAGACTGCATAATAGTTTGAAAGAATCCTGTGTTAGAAATAAGCAACTAAAATAAAAGATCAATTTTCTTATTCAAGACAATGCAAATCTTTTTTGACAAAACAAGAATCTGAAAGATAAAAATGATCACTTCAAAAAGAATGAAATTGTTCTACTTTATGAGCTTGATAGAAAAACAAAGCTTTGTGACTTGTTTAAAAAGGAACAAAGTGACTTGAAAAAAAGAATAGATTGTCTAAATGATTTGTTTTAACACAAGAAACAAAACTGTTTCCAAAGGAACGAATCAAAATCTCATGAGAAAAGGCTGAATTCTAGTGCAAATGAATTTACCATTTATAGGAGAAAACAAGTCAGATTCGTTAAACCTGTCCTTACAAGTAATTCGCTGATTATGTGTAGTTTTTGTTGCCAAATGGGTCACATAAAGAGTAATTATTATGTAAGAAAGAATATGAGAAACGACATGAAATGCATGTGGATAGGTAGACATAATGCTAACTCTCAAGAACCCACAAAAATAAAGGGTACCAAATATTATCTTGTGAACTTTTGTGTAGGTGAACTTGGTAAACATCATTAAGGAATCAAAATGGTTCATTGATAGTGGATGTTCAAGGCACATGACCGGTGATCCATCATAATTCATCAAATTCAAGTCAAAATTAAGTGAAAAAATAATATTTGGGGATGATAACAAAGCCAAAACAGTTGGAATAGTAGATGTTGGTAAGAATGGTCAAACCTTTGTTCATAATGTCCTTCTAGTTGATAATTTGAGTTATAACTTATTAAGTGTTAGTCAATTGTGTGATAGAAATCTGTTTATGTTATTCAAGAAGTATGAGTGTCTTGTTCTTAACTCTAAATTTAATATTATTTTCAAGGGAAAAAGGATAAATGACATCTATGTAGTTATTTTTAAAAATGTTGATTCCTCTAGTTTTAAATGTCTTAAAATTGAAAATGAAGACCCTTGGTTGTGGCATAGAAGGTTTTGTCATTTCAATATGGATTTGTTAAAAGGAATTTTCAAAAAGGAACTTGTTAGAGGTTTGTCAAAAATTAATTTTGAAAAGGATAAAATTTGTAATGTTTGTCAATTTGGTAAGCAAGTAAAAGTTTCATTTAAACCAAAAAATTGTGTTTCTACATCAAATCCTTGGAACTTTTACATCTTGATTTGTTTGATCCTACTCAAATTGCTAACTTGAGTGATAAAAGATATTGTTTGGTTATTGTTGATGATTATTCTAGATACACTTGGGTAATGTTTCTTTGCCACAAAGATGATACTTTCAAAATTTTGTTTCCGTATTTGCAAAATTTCAAAATCTGATTGGTTTGAAAATTGTTAAAATTAGAAGTGACAATGACTCAGAATTTAAATTTTGCGATTTTTCAAAATTTTGTGATCATAATGGAATCACTCATGAATTTTGTATTGCAAGAACTCCACAACAAAATGGTGTTGTTGAAAGAAAAAATAGAATTCTTCAAGAAACCGCAAGAACTATGATAAGTGAATGCAATTTGTCAAAATATTTTTGGGTCCAAACCGTGAATATGGCTTGTTATGCTATGAATGGAGTTCTTTTAAAACCAATTTTGAACAAAATCTCTTATGAGTTAATGTTTGATAAAAAGCCAATTGTTGGATATTTCAAAGTTTTTGGTTGCAAATGTTTTATTTTAAAT